CTTAAAACTCACGCCGGGCGCGTGTGCATGCGTGCCCAAGATCCTGAGAGGAGAATGGAGGAGAAGGGATTGCGGCGTGACCATCCCCTCTGGGGGGTGATTTCTCGCTTTCTGTCTCTATGTCTCTCTCTGTCTGTCTGTGCGTGCCCTATAGCGAAAACCTCTCAAAAAAAAAAAAATCCCAGCAGAAGAAACAGAGGAGAGGGGAAGGGAGGGGATTTTGGCATGACCACATTCTCCCCTGGGTCTCCAGTCGACTAGCCTACCCTGCAGATTTTGCATTTACCAAAACTCCATGCTGGCAGGATCTCTCTCTCTCTCTCTCTCCCTCTCTGTTGATACCAAAACCCATACATACAACTATCCACATCTTCAGGTATACCTTCAATCCACGCTAAGTTACTTGTAATACTGAATACAATGTAAATAGCTATCCTACTGTATTGGTTAGAGAGTAAGGACAAAGAAAGAAGTCTGTCTGTATTTCAGCACAGGCCCAGCCACCACAGGCCTGACGGCAGAGCACCTCAGCAAGAAAGTAACAGTTCCCACATTCCCAGATGCGGAGCCCACAGATACTGAAAGCTGACCTTGTATATACCAGAAATCTCATTCTCTCGCTCTCGCTCTCTCTTATTTTTAAAGAATTATTCTATTTAACTTTATTTATTATTTTTTTTAACTTGACCAGAGAAACACACAGAGAGAAAGAGAGAGAGAGTGAGAAAGTAGACTGCCAGGTCCGAGACTTGAACCACGGTCAGCTATGTGGGAGTCCAGTGTCTTTCACCAACACACCACCTGCCAGTTCCTAGAGATCTTTGAAAAGCTCATGAAAAAAGAGGACCAGCAGTTGGCGTAATGGCTATGTCGTTGGACTCCCATGTAGTCAACCGTGGTTCAAGTCCTGGACCCGGTGGCTTAAACTTACCCCGGGGGGTGGGGGGGATTTCTCAATTTCTGTCCCTCTTTGTCTGTCTGTCTTTCTGGCAAGCACACATGCCCTATGGCAAAAAACTCTCCAAAAACAAAAGCTCATGAAAAAGGCACATGATAAAAAACTATGCATGGGTTTCAATTTTGGGGCCCTGAAATAAACTCATATTTTATTCTATATTCCCATGAATTTTTCCCAGAGCTCTCATCTATATAAACATATATCCTGTTACATCTCTTTCTCTAGAGAACCCTGACCAATAGACTACATATCTGCATTTCTTAATGTGACTTTTTTTTTTTTTTGGCTAGAGGGCATGTGTGCTCAGCATAAAGAGATAAAGAGAGAGAGGGAGACAGAGTCCTTTAATGGGGCGTGGTTGTGCCACAATCTCTTCTCCTCCATTCCTCTATCCTGTGGGAAATTTGGGCAGTCACACACATGTGCCTGATCTGTTTTCCAAGCCTTGGGGCTGGATTTGAACTGTGGTTGACCACGTGGGAATCCAGCTCCCTTAACAACTACGCCACGGGGCCAGCCCTAGCTTATGTGTATTTTATTTTTAAAATTGTATTTATTATCATTATTATTATTATTATTAAATTTGCTAGGGGGCATGTGTGCTCACCAGAGAGAAAGAAAGTGAAAAAGCAAGCTGCCAGGTCTGGGACTCGAACTGTAGTCAGCAGTGGGAGTCCAGCACCTTAACCACCCTGTCACCTGCTGGCCTATACTTTCTAGTTACATAAGGGTTAGGTATGGCTCTGGTCCTTAAAAAATAATAAGGCAGGGAACCAGCAGTTAGCGTAATGGCTATGTCGCTGGACTCCCACGTAGTCGACCACGGTTCGTGTCCCGGACCCGGTGGCTTAAAACTCACGCCGGGCGCGTGTGCGTGCGTGCCCAATATCCCGAGAGGAGAATGGAGGAGAAGGGATTGCGGCGTGACCATCCCCCCTGGGGGGTGATTTCTCGCTCTCTGT